GGCCAGGAACGACGCGCCGCGGGGCCAGGTGCGACGGGCCTCGGAGGGGGCCTAAGGGTGATGGGCCGCGGGGCCTAGGGGCGACGGGCCTCAGGGCCAGGAATGACGGGCCGGGGGCCAGGAGCGACGGGCCTCGGGGGGCCTAAGGGCGACGGGCCGCAGGGCCAGGAGCTACGAGCCGGGGGCCTAGGGGCGACGGGCCTCGGGGCCTAGGGGCGACGGGCCTCGGGGCCAGGAACGACGCGCCGCGGGGCCAGGTGCGACGGGCCTCGGAGGGGGCCTAAGGGTGATGGGCCGCGGGGCCTAGGGGCGACGGGCCTCAGGGCCAGGAACGACGGGCCGGGGGCCAGGAGCGACGGGCCTCGGGGGGCCTAAGGGCGACGGGCCGCAGGGCTAGGAGAGTCGGGCCGGGGGCCTAGGGGCGACGACGGGCGACAGGCCGCGGGGCGACGGGCCTAGGTGGCAACGGGCGACGGGCCGGGGGCAACGAGCCTAGGGCGACGGGCCGAGGCGACGGGCTAGTGGCGACGGGCCTAGGGGCGACGGGCCGCAGGGCCAGGGGCTACGAGCCGGGGCTAGTGGGGGAAGGGCCGCGGGGCCAGGAGCGACGGGCCTCGGGGCCTAGGGGCGACGGGCCACGAGGCCAGGAGAGACGGGCCGAGGGGCGGCGGGGGCCTAGGGGCGACGGGCCGCGGGGCCAGGAGCAACGGGCCGAGGGGCCGGGGGCCTAGGGGCGACGGGTTGCGGGGCCAGGAACGAAGGGCATAGGGGCCGGGGGCCTAGGGGCGACGGGCCTCAGGGCCAGGAACGACGGGCCGCGGGGCCAGGAGCGACGGGCCTCGGGGGGGGGCCTAAGGGCGACGGGCCGCGGGGTCTAGGGGCGACGGGCCTCGGGGCCAGGAACGACGGGCCGCGGGGCCAGGAGCGACGGGCCTCGGGGGGCCTAAGGGCGACGGGCCGCGGGGCCTAGGGGCGTCGGGCCTAAGGGCGACGGGCCGAGGGGCGACGAGGGCCTAGGGGCGACGGGCCGCGGGGCCAGGAATGACGGGCCAAAGGGCCGGGGGCCTAGGGGCGACGGGTTGCGGGGCCAGGAACGAAGGGCATAGGGGCCGGGGGCCTAGGGGCGACGGGCCGCGGGGCCAGGAGCAACGGGCCGAGGGGCCGGGGGCCTAGGGGTGATGGGCCGCGGGGCCAGGAACGAAGGGCATAGGGGCCGGGGGCCTAGGGGCGATGGGCCTCGGGGCCAGGAACGACGGGCCGCGGGGCCAGGAGCGACGGGCCTCGGGGGGGCCTAAGGGCGACGGGTCGCGGGGTCTAGGGGCGACGGGCCTCGGGGCCAGGAACGACGGGCCGCGGGGCAAGGAGGGACGGGCCTCGGGGGGCCTAAGGGCGACGGGCCGCGGGGCCTAGGGGCGACGGGCCTCGGGGCCAGGAACGACGGGCCGCGGGGCCAGGTGCGACGGGCCTCGGGGGGGGCCTAAGGGCGACGGGCCGCGGGGCCTAGGGGCGACGGGCCTCAGGGCCAGGAACGACGGGCCGCGGGGCTAGGAGCGACGGGCCTCGGGGGGCCTAAGGGCGACGGGCTGCAGGGCCAGGAGTGACGGGCCGGGGGCCTAGGGGCGATGACGGGCGACGGGCCGCGGGGCGACGGGCCTAGGTGGCGACGGGCGACGGGCTGGGGGCAACGGGCCTAGGGCGACGGGCCGAGGCGACGGGCTAGTGGCGACGGGCCTAGGGGCCTAACGGTCGCGACAGGCAGTAGGGGCAGCTCGAGGGCTGCAGAGGGCGGCTAGCGGGGTAGCGATGTGGTGGGCCCAAGGAAAAACGGTCCTAGCAGAGGACCTGCTCTGAAACCATGTCAGAATAATGAACGAGAATGAATGAACTATAAAAGAGTTGGGTACAAGTACTAACCCTAACTGGGTTGTACCCCTTAAGGGCTACCCCACTATAGCCTACACAAATGTAAGCAGTATAACATTCTGACATTTTTTTCGGGGCATTTACCTCCGCAGTAACATATATTGGGCTCGATGGCACTCGAGGTAAGCTATGTGTCAAGATCGTAAGAAATGTATCCTCCCTTCGCCACCACGGTAACCATCATGCTTAGATGGTCAACATTATTGCCTGAATAGTAATGAACTGTGCATCTGGAATTCATGACGTGTAACTACGCGTTCCAATAAAATTGTACGCCGTACAATTAGGATTTGATTCAGCGAAATTGAACTGACTATTGACGTATACTCCACAGAATGCGCATTATTTTTTAGTAGACGAACGTTTACAAACGCAAAGTGTTACGTGCACGTATGCAATATGATTAAATATCTCTATACTAGCTTAAAAAATATAGAAACAAATATGAAAATCACAGGATCAGTTTTATCGTTCCTTTGGATTCACAAAATAAATGACAAATCATTGAATCGTACTATAAAAATCATTTTCCAGCCTATATAATGAAATTGTTTTTAACTTGTTTAGACCCACTTGTTTTTTTTTTCCGAATAGATTGTCAAATATTGATTTTACCAATGCAGCTTTAGATGTTTGTAATGTTGAGAAAAAAACTGTTCCTACTAATACTGTAATGTTTGTAACTTGATTGTAAACGCCGTCATTATAAACGGAAATGCGCATTTTGTGGAGTAGACGTGGACATTCACTTTCATTTTCGCTGACGCAAACACTACTTGTACGGTGTACATTTTGGTTAGAACGCGAATTTACCAGCCAGGATTACCGGATGCACTGTTCATTACCATTCGATCGGGCAATAATGTTGACCATCTAGGCATGATGGTTACCACGGTGGCAAAGAGAGGATACATTTGTTACGATCTGGACACGTGGCTTACCTCGGGTGCGATCGAGCCCAATGTTTGTTACCGCGGTGGTAAATGCCCTTTTGTTTCGCCATACATCGCGCCACGAACTCTTCATCACATGTTTGAGAATGGCGCGGATTGAACGGGACAATGTGATTGGGGGAGCGCAATCACGGAGCACCTTGGGATTGGATGTTGCGGGCTGTGGCTGGCATCAGAGCAGCGGGCATGCTGCTCGTGTGGGATGGTTTGCGGGGAGGGGTGGGAAAGGAGGAGAGTGTGGAGGAAGAGGGGAGAGGGGAAGATTACGGGAGGGAAGAGGCGGAATGAACAAGAGGCGCGGGGGAGGAGGGTGAGGAGAGGAGGAGAGGAGAGTGGGGGTTGCACACCTCGTGCAGTCGAGTGGGGCAGTGAAAAATGCGCTCAGCTGAAGAATGCGCTCAAGTGAAGAATGCAGAACGGGACAGAGCGGTTCAGTATGTCAAATTTAGCAGAAAGAGGTTTACAATCAGATGACACCATGGAACACGTGTGGCCAGATGAGAGCCATGCAGATACTCGTCGTCCACTAACGGCAAGGGATGCTCCATCAGGGGAGAGGGGTGGTGTGGTGGGTGGACGGCGAGCGGCTTGTTTATGGTGGGGGAGGCTGTTGGCGGTCCTTTTCCTGAGAGATTGCGTTTTACGCCGCCTTTCGACGACTGGAATATGCACGACTCCATTTCCTGAAACCCCTCGTTGATTCCGGTCTTCTTTCCGCAGTGCCTATTATTTGCGCGCCTCCGTAGTAATAATCATCATTGTAGAGTTCTGCGGTGCTTATAATTCCGCGGTGCTGATTATTAGTAGAATTCCACGTTGCCAGTTCTCAGAGGAAACGAACCCGGTGTGCCGACGAGTTGTCGGATATCGCGTCGCTTTTCTATCGCATCTTACTGACTCCGTTAGAACCAAATTTGCAGGCAAATTTAAAAAGCAACCGGATGACACATTTTGTTGATTCCTCACCGTTTCCCAGCTTGATTTGTGAATGACCTAAAAATTCGTTAGCCATGGCCGAATGACCCTTCCTGTCAATCAGTGTGCTTCTCTAGTCGTCCATGGCCCACAGCTGCTTCAGCGGCCACTCCTGTCACGAATTAACTCGTGTCTGGTCCAGCTGCCAATCTACGCTTCGTTCTCGAAATCAGGTACTAGCCTATTCGTCGACAAGCCGTCGCTGAGCCGTTAAATCACTCTAAAACGAAAGTTTTTGCTAAGCGTCGCTGCCTACTCGATAGATTTCGTTCAGATTCGAGGGTAGTAGCAGCAAGGCGACTCTTATCTCTACTGGCGGCTCGTCGAGTCTGCATCAACCTTCGTCTCGTCTTGTCTGTGGTTGTGAATTTGGGAGAGCCATTTTAGTATTTTCTTGAACAGCATCTTTTGCGGAAACGCAGCTCGATTTTTGAGGCGCCTGAAAAGTATTTTCTTGAACTCCATGAGCGCGACCGATGGTCTCACGGCGGTTGCCGCCAAGGAGCATCTGAATTCGCGCCATTGCTGCTGTGTGTGACTGAGCTCCGCATCCAGAGATTCAAGCCACCTGCCTGTTGCAATCGATTTTTGAATTCGAGAGTGAGAGAGAAAAATAATGTAACAAGTGACTGAATTCTCCACAGCGGTTTGCATGTGCGTGAGCATCGCACTGCGATCCGAGTTTGTACCCGCGAGCACGGTAACAGAGAACTCCCAAACGGGACTGCTGTGCGTGCTTGAGCTTCACCCCCTGCGCGATTTCTTTCTGTAGTACCTGGTAGCACGGTAGTGGCTCCGTGTATGTAATGAGTCGTGCTTTGAGTCGGCTCAAAACACGTAGCACGGTACCAATTATCAAGACACTGTTTCCCGCACTTGTTTCCCAGGAGATTTACCAGGAGCGTTTGTTTCCCGCCAACTCCTTCGTCCGCAGGTGTGCCGGCCTGGCGTGACGCCTAGCCGTCAATCGGGTCTCATTCAGCCGGTCTGCCGTTTGGATCCGCTCGTCAAATTCACGTCCTCGCTGTCTACGACCCATTTGAGAAACTCAAGAGAGCATTCCGGCAAGCAAGTAGTTTCGAAGTCCGTGAAGGCAGCACGGTCAGAAAGAGGGCCACCAGCACCGCCACCACCACCAGCACCACCGCCTCAAACAGTAGCAGCAGCAGCAGCAGCAGCAGCAGCAGCAGCAGCAGCAGCAGCAGCAGCAGCAGCAGCAGCAGCAGCAGCAGCAGCAGCAGCAGCAGCAGCAGCAGCAGCAGCAGCAGCATCTGCTCGTGCGACGTCAGCAGGGGGAACACTGCTGCTTGCGGCATCGGCGGCGCTCACAGCAGCGGCAGCAACTCCAGCGGCAGCGCTGGCAGCGATTCAACTGCAAGTATCCCAATTGGGCGCGTTACAACTGGAAGCATTACAAGTGGGACACACGGCTGCAGATACAGTTGGTACAGCCGTGACTGGAGCAGCAGCAGCAGCAGCAGCAGCAGTAGCAGCTGACACATTGGCAGCCGCGGCCCCACAAGCAGCAGCAGAACCAGTTATGGTGTCCATTGCGTCTGTGCTGGCAGGCCTTCCTTCCATGGGGTTTGGCATCGGGCTGTCGCCTCAAGTCGGCATCGCACTCGCTCTCACTCTTGTTGGCAGCCTCAGCACGGCTCTTGGTGAGTCCAATCGAATCCCAGGTCGGAGCCACGTATTTACAAACAAGAACACACTATTACACGCCCACTCTCCATGACACCCCAAACATTTCTGAGGCGCCTCAAAAGTCTGAGCGCACGGTTCTTCGAGAGAACTCTCCGCGCCACCCCAAACATTCGACTCGAATCAAGACGCATCGCCCTCTTGGTGTTACTTTTGAGAATACCCGAAAGTAACACCAAGACTCATCACGCTGTCCCGTCCAGTCGCCATCGCCTGCACGCTCGCGCTCTCCTTGCCAGTCTGAGCATGAACAGTCCTGGTCCTCTCGTTTCCGTATGCAACATCTCTGTTTAACAGTCTCCTCATCTCGTGGCATGCATGCCTAAGCGTCTCCTTGCATCCCATGCCCACCCATCTCCTTCGCTCTCCGCCCGCCTCCTCCCACCTCCTCCCACCTCCTCCCACCTCCTCGCACCTCCTCCCACCTCCTCGCACCTCCTCCCACCTCCTCCCACCTCCTCCCACCTCCTTGCACCTCCTCCCACCTCCTCGCACCTCCTCCCACCTCCTCGCACCTCCTCCCACCTCCTCCCACCTCCTCGCACCTCCTCCCACCTCCTCCCACCTCCTCCTCCCACCTCCTCCCACCTCCCACCTCCCACCTCCTCCCATCTCTTCTCACCAGGCGGTGCTCTCGTGGTGCTTCAAGCCGTGCCTGATATCAAGCGCCTTGGGCTCCTGCAGGTACTCTCCAGCATACCCTTCTCCACCGCACCTCACCGCACCTCGCCTTACCCCATTTCACCGTACCTCATTGCACCTCGCGTCACCCCTTGCGGAGTCTCACGTTCTTTCACTTCGTGCCTCAAGACATCCACGGCATTCCACCTTCCCCCTTTCCCAACCATTCCCTTCCACTCTCTCCGCTGCTCTCCCTACTCGCCCCCTCTCTCTCCCCCCCTCTCCCTCACCCCCCTCCCCTGTCCAGGGCTTCGCCAGCGGACTCATGTTGACCCTCACATTCTTGTACCCGGCCCCTTCCCTTCCCTGCCCGCACCCTCCCCCTTTTCCCTCTCTCACCCCACCCTCCTCCGCTATCCAGGGCTTCGGCAGTGGGCTCATGCTGAGCCTCACACCTTCTTTGATCTCGTGCTTTAGGGCTGCCTAGTCACTTCAACATCCTGCCTTGTCCCCCCCCTCACCCCCACTCATCGCCACCCCCCTCCACTATCCAGGGCTTCACCAGCGGGCTCATGCTGAGCCTCACCTTCTTCGACCTCGTGCCAGAAGCCATCCCGGTCATCTCAACATGCCATCCTTTCCCCCCCCTCCCATACACCCACCCACCCACACCGCCCTCACCGCATCGGTCCAGGGCTTCGCCAGCGGGCTCATGCTGAGCCTCACGTTCTTTGATCTCGTGCCAGAAGCCATTGAGGCCATCGGCTTCCCCGCCGCCAACCTATGGGTGAGTGAGTGAGCTTCCCTGCGTGTCGGTTCGAATAAATGCCTCTGGGCTATGCGCGCGCGACACTCAGGATCTCCTGCTGTTGCTCCTTGTGACTCGACTTGGATTATTTTTTTAGGCGACTCGAAACAAACATGTCCTGCGCCTGGTCTATGTGGGTGTGGGTGTGGTTGTGGTTGTGGGTGTGGGTGTGGGTGTGGGTGTGGGTGTGGGTGTGGGTGTGGTTGTGGGTGTGGGTGTGGGTGTGGTTGTGGGTGTGGGTGTGGGTGTGGTTGTGGGTGTGGGTGTGGGTGTGGTTGTGGGTGTGGGTGTGGGTGTGGTTGTGGGTGTGGGTGTGGGTTGTGGGTGTGGGTGTGGGTGTGGTTGTGGGTGTGGGTGTGGTTGTGGGTGTGGGTGTGGGTGTGGGTGTGGGTGTGGGTGTGGGTGTGGGTGTGGGTGTGGGTGTGGTTGTGGGTGTGGGTGTGGGTGTGGTTGTGGGTGTGGGTGTGGTTGTGGGTGTGGGTGTGGGTGTGGGTGTGGGTGTGGGTGTGGGTGTGGGTGTGGGTGTGGGTGTGGGTGTGGGTGTGGGTGTGGGTGTGGGTGTGGGACAAAGGCTCTTTTGCTGCGACTTCTATGCCTTTCCCCTGCCCTGTGATGCTCGCCTGCCAATCTCTTCTTTCCCACTTTCTCTCCTCTTTCTCTCTCCTGTTGCCCCCACGCTTTCACCTCCTCACTCTTCACCCCCTTACTCTTCACCTCCTTACTCTTCACCTCATTACTCTTCACCTCCTTACTCTTCACCTCCTTACTCTTCACCTCCTTACTCTTCACCTCCTCACTCTTCACCTCCTTACTCTTCACCTCCTTACTCTTCACCTCCTTACTCTTCACCTCCTTACTCTTCACCTCCTTACTCTTCACCTCCTTACTCTTCACCTCCTTACTCTTCACCTCCTTACTCTTCACCTCCTCACTCTTCACCTCCTCACTCTTCACCTCCTCACTCTTCACCTCCTTGCTCTTCACCTCATTACTCTTCACCTCCTTACTCTTCACCTCCTTACTCTTCACCTCCTTACTCTTCACCTCCTTACTCTTCACCTCCTTACTCTTCACCTCCTTCCTCTTCACCTCCTTACTCTTCACCTCCTTACTCTTCACCTCCTTACTCTTCACCTCCTTACTCTTCACCTCCTTACTCTTCACCTCCTCACTCTTCACCTCCTTACTCTTCACCTCCTTACTCTTCACCTCCTTACTCTTCACCTCCTTACTCTTCACCTCCTTACTCTTCACCTCCTTACTCTTCACCTCCTTACTCTTCACCTCCTTACTCTTCACCTCCTTACTCTTCACCTCCTCACTCTTCTCCTCCTCACTCACTCTTCACCTCCTCACTCGCTCTTCACCTCCTCGCTCCTCCTCACTGTCCCATTGTTGTGCCTCACAGTTTTTTGCCGGAGCACTTCTCTTCGCAACGGTTGTGCATTTTGTTCCCGAGCCTTCCCTTGCGCCCGAGCCATCTGTAGCTCCCGAACCATCGTCCGAACCTCTACTGCAATATTCATCCGACCCCGTGTCCGAACCTACGTCCGAGCCTGCATCCCAACCTACGTCCGAACCATTCACGGAGAGGCAACAGACAGAACAACCTATTCAACCATCAGCTGTAGCACCAGCTGCAACAGCAACAGCAGAAGCAACAGCAGCAGTACCACCAGCACCAGCAGCAGCAGCACTGGCACCAACAGTGACACCACCACCACCAGACTCACCACCTCCTCTCATCCGGAAACAAACACTCGCTCGGCTCAATTCCCCTTCCGCCTCCTCCTCCTCTTCCTTCTACCTCCCCTCCTCCCTCTCGTCCCTAGATCTCACCCAAGCCTTAGGCTCGGAAAGCCCCGAGTTGGACCCGAACCGAGCCTCAGGTTCGGCAAGAGTTGGCTCGGTGGATCACCCGAACCTGGTCCGAGGCTCAGGTTCGGACAGCGACAGAGACAGTCGTGTGGAGCATTGGCTTAGTGGGATCAAAAGCAGCGAGTGGGATAGCCGTGATGGGGTGGGGAGTGGGAATACTGATGATACTCGAATGGGAGGGGGGGGAGAGAGAGGGGTGGAGGGGGTGGTGGAGGAGAGACGAAGATTAAAGGGTGGGACAGATGCAAAAAGAGCAAGTGGTGGGAGTAGGGAGGAGGAAATGGGAGTCTGGGGCAAGGGAGGTTGGGGGGAGAGGGAGAGGCGTGAGAGGGAAGAGGGCGAGGGGGGTCTGGGAAAGAAGGAAGTGGGGGAGAGAGAGGTAGGGGAGCGGGAGATGCAGAGGCGGCGGCAAGCAGTGCTGTGGAGTGGAGTGATCACGGCCTTGGGCATCAGCCTGCACAACTTCCCTGAAGGCATCGCCGTCTTCCTGGGGTCCATGAAGGTGCGGAGGAGTGGAAAGGGGTACTGGGGATGCTGAGGGTATTGGGGATGCTGGGGGTACTGGGAATGCTGGGGGTACTGGGAATGCTGGGGGTACTGGGGATGCTGGAAGTACGAGTGTGTGCATGAGCACAGATAAGCCACCCTCTCTCCAATCCACCATTACCTTACACATCCCCCCTGAACGCATTGCCGTGTTCCTGGGGTTTATGAAGGTGGGATGACAGGGAAAGGGAAGGGGTACTGGGGTTACTGGTGAGGGTAGGTACATGGTTTGTGTATGTGGTACGTTCTGGTGTATGTATCAGTACAGCTAGATTCGCACTTACCCTTCACAGGGCAAGGGGACACCTTAGGCCATTTGTTTATCGAGCATGGCCGAATTTATCTAATCCTGTTTGCTCCCCATGCTTTCGCACCTCAGTGTCAGTAAAGACCCAGAAAGTTGCCTTCGCACAGCCGCCATTGCCCCATCCCACCTCCCGCCTGCATTAATCCTCTCCTTTCCCTTCTCCTCTCGCCTCCCTCCTCTCCCCCTCCCCTTCCCGTCAGGGTCTGCAGGTGGGAATCATCCTAGCAGTTGCAATCGCCCTGCACAGCATCCCACAGGGCCTCACAGCCGCCCTGCCCATCTACTTGGGCCCCGAGAATCCTCCACTCTCCATGCTCATCTGCTCCGCTCCTTCCCCTCCCCTCTCCCTTTTCCTCTCAGGGTCTGTGGGTGGGCGTCAGCCTAGCAGTAGCCATAGCAATACACAACATCCCGGAGGGCCTCAGAGTCGCCCTCCCAATCTACTTCGGCACTCACAGCCTCCACTATCCATGCCCATCCACTCCCCCCTTCCCCTCCCTCCTCCCTTTTTTCCCACAGGGCCTAAGGGTAGGCATCAGCCTAGCGGTGGCCATAGCATTACACAACATCCCAGAGGGCCTCGCAGTCGCCCTCCCCATCTACTTCAACCCTAAACCCTCTTCCTATGCCCACTTTTTTCTATCCTTACCCTCCCCCCTCTACTCCCTTCAGGGTCTGCGGGTGGGAATCAGCCTAGCAGTAGCCATAGCGCTACACAACATCCCAGAGGGCCTGGCAGTCGCCCTCCCCATCTACTTTGGCACGCGAAGCCGCTGGGCTGCCTTCCGAGCCGCGGCTCTCTCGGGGGCTGCAGAGCCCCTGGGGGTGGTCTTTGTGGCCCTCTTCTTCCCGGCCTCACTCGCCCCGGATATCATTGAGGGGCTTCTTGCTGGCGGTACGTGCTCTGCTCTCTCCTCCCTTTTTCGGGCAGCCGCTGGGTGGCCTTCCGAGCGGCTGCTCTCTCGGGAGCTGCGGGGCCTCTGGGGGTGGTCTTTGTGGCCCTCTTCTTCCCGGCCTCGCTCGCCCCTGACTTCATTGAAGGCCTGCTCGCTGGTGGTACGTGCTCTTCTCTCTCCACCCCCCTCCCCAACCTCTTCATTACCCCCTTCTCCACTCCGTTTTCCACCCCCGTCTCTACCCTGGGGGCTGTCTTTGTTGCTCTCTTCTTCCCGGCCTCGCCCACCCCGGACATCATTGAAGGTCTCTTGCCGGTGGTACGTGATCTGATCTCTCCCGCTGCCTGTTTTCAGTTGTGTTGTCTCCGCCGGTAAGTTTCTTGTACTGCCTCTTTCACTCTGCTTGCAATGACTGTGCTGCCTTGTGCATCCCTATGCGTCCCTCTCCATCCTTCTCCATCTCTCTCCATCCCATTCCATCTATCTGCACCCCTTGCCATCCCTCTCCATCCCTCTCCACCCCTGTGCATTCCTCTCCATTCCTCTCCATTCCTTTGCACTCCTCTGCATGCAGTGGGGGGCATCATGGCGTTCCTTGTGCTACACGAGATGCTGCCTCTGGCCTTTGAGTACGCGGGGCATCGCAGGGCAGTGCAGGCCATGTTCCTGGGCATGGCTGTCATGTCTGCCAATCTGCACCTCCTCGCACTTTCCCTCCCGCCTGACATCTCCCTGTGACCAGCCATGTCATCTCGCCGTCACTCCTACCCACCCTCTTGCGCTCATCCACTCTCACTCTCTTGCTCCCACTGTCCTCTGTCGATTGGGAGTGTGCTGGCCACGGCAAGGCAGTCATGGCAGCCAATTCACACTTCCTTGGCCTCTCCATACCTCCACACGTCATTTTATGATGCTACACGTATGTTTAGGCAATCATGCGGCTGCTAATCATATGCTGTGGGCGCCATGATTGCTGTGCATGATGACTGTTGGATTGCGATTACCACTGGAGCACATTCACTGCGTAAAACTCGCATCCTACTTGTAATATAACATGTACTACATTTACATGGTAATTATAGTACTGCACAACCATCATCATGTCGTTGTGCTATATCTACCTATTTTCGTATTCGTGATGAACGAGGAAGGTATTGCTGTGTTAGGGTGTGGAGTTGCGCACATCCTTTACCGAGTTGGCGTAATGCCGGATATCATTCTCCACCACGTAAGCCTGAGGCCAAGCAACAGTCGCAAACCACAGTTGTCAGAAGTTCGACATCAAGCCAGCACGTGTGGGAAAATATGTCACAAGTAACCAACATGGGACTCGATAACGTGGATGGTAAAAAAGTAACGCGTACGGTCACCGTATCGGGTTTGCTGACGGGTTTGGTAAGTGGGGTCACAAATTCAGTCACTAACAACAGGTGAAACTTCACGCGAATGGTCACACATGTAACTCCCTCCAAAATTTCTTGAAACTCTACAAAATTCCCGCTCGCGCCCAACCAATCAGCTAATTTCTTAAATTGCTAAAACCCAATCGGAATCGGATGCGGTTTGGGAACGGATCAACCCGAAACACCTGGCGAGTTGTGGTTAGGGTTGATTCATCCGAAAATGCATCCAGGTTCGTTTTGGGTATTATCTTTTTTTGGGTGGGAGTTTCATCTGTGACCATTCGCGTTATTTTTTCCCAGTTGATTGTGACTGATTCAGTGAAACGCTGTATCAAACACGTGAAAACACCCTTTGCAGTGACCGTACCCGTTTGTTTTACCAAACATATTATCGAGACCCTTGTTGATTACGAGTGGCATATTTTCCCTGCACTTGTCGGCTCTTCATTTCAGTAATAAATGGCATCTCGTCAATACAGGCTGTACAGAATTTGTTTCAGTGCTGCCCTGAAAATACACTCGACGCGACACTGTGGCAATACAGTTGTGGCCACTACCGGATGTGGTTGGCATATCAGTGTAATGTACGTGTAATGAAGCCGTTGACATATCAGCATACTTTTAGCTTAGCGTTGTGCGTGCGTTCGGGGTATGATAGAAACTTGTTGACTGTCTGTCTGTCTGTAGTGTCTCTACAGTATGACAGAACGAGGTTACTGCTGACCGTTGACCTCTTTCCGTCAATGTCTAGCTTGGCATGGTGGTGACTGTATTCAACTTCCGATGATGACGATAGCGGCGCAAGGTGTCTACATTCCCCGTGGCTTCTCCACAAGCCTTCCCAACCTCGTGGTTTTGTCCAGTACTGTACAGATGCTCCATTTCAGGAAATCTAAAACACACATTACCTACATACGGCACGCATCACAAGAGTTATCGTTGTCCCTTCAAAGCCCTATAGTCGGACTGTGGGAACGAGTTTCACATTCTTGTGGAGAGAGCTGGAATTGTCATTTGGCATGAGTGGACTTGGTTACCATGTGCTTCAAAATTCGATCCTGTCGACATGCCGCTGCTTTCCACAGTCACGGCCCTCCCTTGAAACCGTGACACAACATCCGCAATGCTCGCTGGCGAATGTCACATACTTGAAATTGCATTCGAAATAGGCAAAACCAAAGCCAGTAAGGGTTCCCTTTGACGAGCAATATGAAGATGTGGTCTTTAACAAATGTTGTTATCAGTATCAGGGTCGTGGAATGTCAGGTGCCTTAATCAGAGAACATTTGTATCGCCACTTGTCCACCTCACAACACATTCGAATATCCTATCTTGTCGTTACCGAAATATGTACCCCATATTGAATAGAGCTGTGACCCTATTTACCCTGCATATGAGCTGCGCAAAGAGGCAGACTTGAGAGATTGCAGGATTCCTCCACGTTACATTAATCAAAATCCACAGTATAAATAATCACGGTTACCTGACTAGGGCGGAAAGGGGGTTGTGGGGGAAAGGTGCTCCGTGTGGGGGTATCGAGGAGAATGCGACAGGCACCCTATGGGCTGGAAATGTTTTTTTACACGAATATGGGGTTCTTGAAAGGTGTCTGTTTCTGTTGCAGTTTGTTTTGTAGAATGTTAATATATCTCAGCTCTACCCTTGAGTTTTCATTGACACGATATTCTGCCAGCCTTACAATTGACGTTACACTGAAAAATAATTTAGACTGTGAGAGATTCAAAAGAGCAGGTTTTTTTCAGGATGTCCGAAGAAAAACACCCTTATTGTCACAAATTTTGGGCAAGAATCATGATCAGACATGCCATGCCAGTGATGCCACCCTGATTTAGGCAATGCCACTGTATACACGTTCTCCATTCTCGCTCCCCTCCATCCTTCCCCCTTGCCCTTGGAGATCGCTATCTGGTTCTGCACGGCACTAAGATCCGACCGTCAAATTTCCAAGCACAAGCACCAACTGCGTTGCTGGCTGGTTGGGGGAGTTGAGAATTGGGAAACCCCCTCCCCCCTCTTCCCCCAGCAAACCCCCACTCCGCCACCCCAAATCTCCCACCGACCCTCCCAGACATCAATCCATCCTCACTTCTCTCCCCACCATGATCACCAGACTCCAGTCCTCCCAAGCTGTAACCATTCTGGTTTCTGCTTCATGTTTCAGCACCCCTCTTCCCAGTCCGTTGAAAGTCGCCGTCGTTGATTGTTTTGACTCAAACTTGATTGTGAGTCGTGACTCCGCGTGCTCGACGATGCGCGCGCCGCGTTGCACTCCTCAATAAAAGTATAGTACTCTCCCCCCCATTGGCAATATTAGAAACAGATCCTCTTTGACGCAGTTTTCTTTGTTTATTACTACTAGATGTGCCACATACACGTGACGTTCGCCGCCATGAGAACCGAGGTTTCGAGTTCCGACGCACCAATGCGTGCGAGCATCCAACTTAGTACTACTAGTAGTAGTAGTCTTGGGATGCACGAGCAGCAACTTACTGTTGAACAGCAGCAACAACGTGATCATCATCAGCAGCAGTACTACTGCGAGCATTCTGCGGCGCCGCCATGGGGCCAACCTAGTAGTATCATTGCATCTAGGTCTTCGCCGGCGGCTGCAGGATCCGGTTCAGAATTTGCACATGAAGGTCAGCATCACGGTGATGCTGCAACTAGGTCTTCATCGGCTATTGAAGTAGTAGAGTTGAGACGTTCACCAGCGCCGGCGATCGGCAACGCCCATCGGATGGGCTTGAACCAGGATTGCATTCGGACCGACATGCCGCCGCAACAGCCTGAAACGGCAGCGGCCCAGCAACCGCCGCTGCAACGGCACCATGAGGGCTACAAATGGAAAAAGACTTCTCACAAGCGCATTGTGGGTCAGCAGATGAAAAGGTGAATCCAGCCGCATCGTGGAGTTCTCATTGGACCAGCATTTTACCACGCGCCGTGGGACTGATAATAATTTTATCGTTGCTAGTATGATAGCAACGCTGCCTCTCAGACTGACAAGATGTTATTTTACAACGAATGTGGGACAGATCTCATCATGTTCTCGCTCCTTTCTGAACCTCCCCCAGATCTGTCGGCCTTTCGCATGACCAGTGTTCCCCTTCCAAGCATGGCGTGTCATGGATCCTGCATGACATAAATTCCTGCATGTCATAGATAGCTGCATGTCATGGCCTTGCCAATACTTGCACTAAGCACATTCTGCTCCTACTTCACCCCTTTGGTCCCTGCAGGCTGTACTTTGTGTGCGCGTCCAAGCAAGCGACAGGCTGCCAGGCGAAGAAGACTGAAGACCGCGTGGCTGGAGAGGCCAGGCACCGCCGCTCAACCAGCATTCCCACACAGAGGCATCAAGGCGCAACTGGTGCATTGCAGAGGCATCAAGGCGTTGGGACCACAACCACCTCAAAGGCCACATTCAGAGGCGGCTCTGCTAGTACCAGAACATTGAATTCCAGAGAGGGGGTTGCAGCTGCTGATGAGGAGACTGACAGTGTGGAGATGCCAAGGACTGAGATGCGTGTGGTGGTGAGGACAGTATACCACGGCTCGCACAACCACCCACCGCCATCCCTCGATGCTTCTGCAAGCCGGCCCTTTCGCTCCATTTCCCCCAGCCCTGCTGTTGTGACCTGCCCTTCCGGTCCAACCCTCGCTCTGGTTTCACCTGCTCCTGCTGCTACAGCCTGGACCCCCGTTCCTGCATCATTTTCTGCTGCAGTCTGCGCATCTGCTACAGCCTGCGCGCCTGCCACAGCGTGCACCTGTTCTGCTGCTGCTACAACCTGTGCTCCTGCTCCTGCTGCACTTCCCCTTCCTGCTGTATCCTTCACTCCTCCTTTGAGCCACTCATCAGCTGCAGCATCATTCGCTCCTGCTACATCACCACGAGCACTTGCTGCATCACCATGCGCTCTTGCTACATCCTGTGCTCCTCTCACATCCTCTGCACCCGTTACGACCAGCGCTCCTCTTGCTGCTGCAACCTGTGTTCCAGCTGCTGCTACACTGTCCCCTTCCACCTCGGCCTGTCTTCCTGCAATGAGCCATCCTCAGTTTCTTGCAGCTCATGTGGCATATGGACCAACCACCCCTCTACCCAGTTCTTGCATCGAAGCTTTCCCATCTTCAGCTGCTCACACACAGCCTTTTAACGCTCCTTACTTGCCTCTGAAGGATATTTTTCTGCCACGTCACCATTCTAGTCACACCGCGCCGCCTCCTCCATCCCCTTTCCCTCCGTTGCTACAACCTTCAACCACCCGCTTGGCCTGTGATGCGCCAAACGCTCCCCAGCCTTCATTCATTCGAGTCGACGACGCAATGTACACTCAAACAGATCAAACGGATCAAGCTCGCCCCATGCTTCTTGACCCAACAGTCTCAACGGTCGGGAGCCAGCAGAGTCATGATTCCAACTGCACGGGTTTCCAGGAGCTCAGGCTTCACCAGCAGGGGCAACAACAGCAGCAGCAGCAGCAGCAGCAGCAGTTTCTCCAGTACCAGCAGCCGCAGCCCAGTGCAGAGCAGTGGCAGGGTCAGCTACAGCCACAACAGCAGAAACACCAGCAGTACCACTATCAACAGCAGCAGCAACAGCATCTGCAGCATCAGCAGCAGCAGCCGCCACAGCAACAGTCGCCGCTGCCACCGCTGCCGCTGCAGCAGCTGCAGCAGCAACACCAGTATCAGCATCAGCATCAGCAGCAAGACCAGCATCAGCATCAGCGGCAAGACCAGCATCAGCATCAGCACCAGCAGGTTCAAGCGACCTCATTTCTCCTCTGCATGGAACATCTTCGTACCCAGGAGACTCCAACCACCACCGGCATAACCACCACTGGCATAACCACCACTGGCATAACCACCACTGGCATAACCACCACTGGCATAACCACCACTGGCGTAACCACTACTGGCGTAACCACTACTGGCGTAACCACCACTGACATAACCACTTCTGGCGTAACCAACACTGGCGTAACCACCACTGGCGTCACCAAGTGCGAACCTCACACTGCAGACCCGCTCCCTTACGATAATCAAAGCGCGGTGCTGCAAAGTGCGGACACCACCGCATGTGACTATGTCGCAACAGCCCCCACCTCTCACCAACTCACGGGGAAAAGCGAGCCCATTGAGTACAGCTGGCCCTGTCAACCCGTCCCCAGTATCGACGGCTCACCAGCACTCACCCCTGTGTTAACTCCACCTATACTGGCTGCTTCCCATGTAACCACCACCAACCCTGGGGTTACCACCTGTAGCTGTAACCCTGGTGGTGGGATGAGGTGTGATTCGGTGGGAGCAGATGATAATGGTGCCATGGCTGTATGTGGAGGAGATTGTTGGCCGACTTGTGATCCCTGGGACATCAAACCGAGCACAGCATGTGCTAAGCAGAGTGCAGCTGATGAACCGCGTTACTCCCTTTTGATTTTTTCCCAGCACCAGGATCTGTCGTTGCCATATCAACAGCTGCAGCTGGAGCAGCAGCAGGAGCAACACCTTCAGCAGCAGCCGCAAGATCAGCAGCAACGGCAGCAGCAGCAGCAGCAGCAGCAGCAGCAGCAGCAGCAGCAGCAGCAGCAGCAGCAGCAGCAGCAGCAGCAGCAACGAGCTGATTACATGGCAGATTATACAGGCAGAAGTGGTCACTACAGAAGCAGCAGCACTCCCATACCCAGCCTTTCCGGGCTCACTGGGCTTCCCACAGGCCACACGACTCTGCATGGGCTGCATGCAAGTGCAGGGTCCCAGAGTATTGTTCCCAATTGTACAGCACATGCACTTACGAGTGACAGCACGAGCACTGGCGCACACTCTAGCTTCCGGAATAGCAGTAGTCGGTCCAACACACGTCAACTCAGTAGGGTTGACAGCATGGGCATGGCTGTGGGGAGCATGAGCGGCTGCTCCATGGACTCATGCATTCATGTCTCGGATCCAGATGCATGCTTGGATGACCTTTTCCTGATGCCAGACGACATTGAGGCGGGCAATGGTGGGGTTGGAAACGGTGGGGTTGGCGGCAGTGTGGTTGGGGACGGTGAGGTTGGCATTCGAGGGAGTGATGATCCGGAGAAAGTGTTTGTGCTGGCTTCACAGAAATGCAGCAGTGACGCCGACCACGGTGTGTTTGAGGAGTACAGTCAAGACATGCGGTGTGTGGGGGGGAGGGGCTGGGTTAACCATCGTTCTCACTCACATCCTTAATTTTAAGCTTCAGTAATGCCTCCTATGTTATTACGTACCAGCTACTTTGCCTCAAATGGTCTGTCATGCAAATGGGTAGCAAGAAACCTAGGCGGGGACTTCAGGAGACCGTGGTTTGGCGTAGATTGGGAAAACAAATCCGAAGACGAATCCATGTAGTCTTGATGTCTAGAATAGGTAATTTTCCTTAAACATGAACTTGTCTTGTTTTTCATGCTATAGTCAGTATTGTTTATTGTATTGAAGCTGGGCCAACTTATAGTCAGTAGTGTCTTTGCCTTGTAAGGAGGAGGGAGGGGGAACCGTTGGATATTTAGAAGGTCCTAGATCTGACAGTTCAGCACTCTCGACCCAACATCCCTAATTTAGGCACGAAATCTTTCGCGACGATCAAACCACAGGTGACAGGCCCCAGCGACAGTTACAGCGTGACCACACACCCAACGTACGTATTAAATTCTCCACTTGTTGCCTACTGAACTGTAATTACCGTAATTACAAGGCCGTACCCCACTGCTCTGCACCAGGCCCCCAGAAGTCAGACTTTTTTGTCTGATTTGCTTGTTTTAGTCTGAGATTTCAGACTTTTTTTAGGGTGTACTCTGTAAAATTCAGAGTTTTTATTGTCTCAACTCTGTGAAAATCAGATTTTTCTCTAGGCTGACTCTGACGTTTCAGAGTTTTCCGGGAGTGTACTCTGATGAATTCAGAGTACAAACGAGTTCCGACTCTCAATGAATCTACCTGCGCGCCGACACCCAGGATTAGCTGTGGTACATACATTGTACAGCTGGATGTTTCCCTCGTACAGCTGGATGTTTCACCCGCCCTGCGGCGCGTTCTTTCCCTCGGTGTAAGATGCTGCAGCAGTTGCCTCCCACGTAAACGTGATGGCAAGCAGACGGTCCTTTAGGCAGCATCGTGTACCACGATGCTGCAACATCCACACCACACACTGCAACGATGCGCCTCGTCGTTGCCGTGCATGGTAGGCAACCACCCACACAACTCAATGATGGCCCATCTTGGTAAAGGGCCTTCGTGTTTGTGCTAGGGTTTCATCCACACCCCTCAGCTACAACTCACGGGCCAAGCCAGTGCCCAGTTTTGCCTCAGCCATCATCTCTCTAGTTCCTGCTCGGCAGGCTCTTTCAAAGCCCCGCCATGGCGGTGCTGGACTATCCCGCCACAGGCGACGACGACCCTGATGAGCGGCCTGCCTTAACAGGCTTGGACTTCTTGCTTAGTACACTAGATCTCGATAAAGCTGCACGCGCCACGCCCGATACGATTCCCATACAGAAAGCACCCGCGGCTCCATTTATCTCACTTTCTGCCGACCATGTGGCAGAGACATCTGCGGAACCAACCGTTGATTCACAGTCGCAGATTCTGACTCAGACCACGGCGCGCACGACCCGTCTCAAGAGGCGACCTTGACCTTCGGCAAACCTGCGTCGTCAACTGCCAACGTCAACAACGCTCCCGGAACATCTGACCGACCGCGACCTCGCCTCAACATCAATCTGGCCGAGCTCATCGAGGGAGTTTACGACGAAGCGATTGACAAGTTCAAAAATCATTGGTCTATCCGTTTTCCGTGGCTCAGAATCACTAAAACCACTATCGGCTTGCCTGCGTTCAAGTGTACCGTTTGTGCAGCCTTTGCTGGCGATGCAGGAAAGTGCGGGAGGCGCGGGAGAGGCGCCACCGACCTGCAGACACAGTCTTTCCGTAAACACGCTGGCACGACGAAGCACAAGCTGGCGGTTGAGAGACAGAAATCTGAAGAGGAGTTCGGTGGACGGCAGCCACAGATCGACCAACATCGCGCCACGGTGGACAGTGAGAAGATGCGGACCGTCGCCCTTCTGGACTCGCTGCTGTTCATCAGCAGGTCCGACGCGCCCATGGGGATGTGGGTGAAACTGGTGCGGTACTTGTCGGAGAAGGGCGTGCAAGGCTTCCCTAAGAGAGGGTACGGCACCTACTACACCACGTGAGTGCAACTGCCGTACGCCTCTTTATAAACACCCACGTTTTAATAATGTTCTAACTAAATTGTTACTGACTATTGGTTCCATGTGCAGATACGACTTCGGTGAGCTGACGCAAGCTACAGCTACATGGCTCCAGACAACCCAGCTGCAACATGTGCTGTCGTCGCCCTTCGTCGGCATCTCGATTGACGAGAGCACGGCAGCGGGAAGCACTTGATCCTGTTCATCACCTTCGTCCGTGACTTCAAGGTCGTCACGGAGTTCATGGCGCTTCTCACCATGGAGAAGGCCGACGCCGCTTCTCTTCTGGGCGTTCTGCTATCACACCTGCTGGCAGTTGGGGTCGACCTGCAGCGCATTGCACGCATCAGCACCGACGGCGCGAACGTCATGATGGGCTGCAAGGGCGGCCTCACGACACGCCTCCGCGTGCGCATTCCCCATTTGGTGTCATCCCACTGCATCGCGCACAGGTAAACCTGTAGGTGCATAGGGTTTTTTTAAGTTCTTTAACAGCTACATGTGACTAATGTTTCCCTTTTTTGTTTTTACAGGGAGGCACTGGCGGCTAAAACAGCCGCAGAGAAGATTCCCGCCTTCAACGTCATTGACACGGTGATCCGCACCGTGGCTGAGCATCTCGGTCGAAGTGGGCCATGGCATCAGCGGTTCATGGGGCTGCAGGAAGTCTTCACCTCCACCTCACTGGAGCTGCAAGGGATCCATGCAGTCCGTTGGCTTTCGCGGGGCGACGCAGTGCTCAGGCTCGTCGCCGTCCTTCCGGCTCTCATCGTGAGGTTGAAGGAGTGGGACGCGATGCTCTATGCGCTGGTGACGAGCTACATGTTCCATTTCCTCCTGTTTTTCATTGCAGATGTGCTTGAGCAGCTGAACATACTCAACAGGGCATTCCAGCACAAGGAGGTAAGCGCTGGTTTCTTGTTACTAGTTGTTAAGTCTTTGTGCCAATGCCAGCTTCGTTTCTTCTAACCTTAGTCACTAACCACCTGTCCACGTGTTTTTTTCCAGCTTGATTATGCCAGCGTGCATGCGTAGATCAAGCGTACAACATCCCACATCGAGAGCCGCTACGTCGACTGCGGAGACGACTTCGGAGGCGGCGTCAGCGAGCTGCTGTCCCTCTTCATCGCGCGCCATGGGCCTGGAGGAAACCGGGAGGTGAAGGTTGAAGGGATTGATTCGGACGGCCGACCAGCACGCTTCAAATTCGTGCTGCACCAGGACGAGCTGGAGGAGTTTGAAGGGCCCGGCACCCACGATGGCTGTGTGGAGGTTTGCACAGAGTTTGCCGAGGTGATCGTGCACCAACTGGAGCACCGGCTTGGCGACCTGAACGGGATGTCCGGCGCTAGGCTCTTCACCCCCGACGAGTACCCGCTGGAGCGTGGAGAGAGGAACCGCAGGTGCCTCGAGTGGCTTCAGTCGCTTGTCACGCTGTTCCAGGCCGACCTGACGGATGAGATCCTGCCAGGTAAGCCATTAAGCAGCTTGGTTTTAATATCAGGCTACCCCGATGTATCGTTTGTATTACATGTCGCTTCAATGAATGTTTGAATTTGGGTTCTGAGCTTGCTCCTCCTGTTTTACTTCCTATCCCGTCAGGAATTGACAAGCGCCGCGCAGAGAAGGAGCTGCGCATGTTCACTTCGGTGCTTGCAGCATCTACCAAGGGCGAGCTCGGTTTTCACGCGGGTCTCACTGCCATGCTCAAGACTCCCGACTGGCGGGAGAACTACCCCAACTTGGTGCTCCTGTGGGTGGCGGTTGCTGTACTACCGCTGAGCACCGTGGAGTGCGAGCGGGGGTTCTCCCGCCAGAACATCATTAAGTCGTGGAAGAGGGGCGCGCTCAAGGATGCTCGCCTGGGGGACCTTATGTGCATGAGCTTGATGGATTACGCCCCCGACTGGGATGAGATTGTGACAGTCTGGAGGAGTTACAAGAAGCGCAAGCCCCAGAGCAACGCTCCATTCCCGCCTGCAGGAAAGCAACACAACAAGAAGGGCAGGGAGGCAGATGAAGAGATGGATGTAGTTGACCTAGAAGATGAGCAGGATGCAGTTGACTCCGATGATGATGATGGATTTAATGAGTAGGATTCTAGGAGGAGAGGAGGATTAGTAGGATGTTGTAGTGCTAGGATACATGAATAGGGTAGTTCTAGCTCTGGCTAATCAAAGAAAAGTAGCATTTTGTATGTAGGCTTTTGCAATGTACGTTACGTAGTTCAAACAAGACGAACAGTTCAGCAAGACAGCTAGAAAGACAATCAGACTTGATAGGTGATGATTCTGAATCTTTCAGACTTTTATTTTAGGGAACTCTGAACTATCAGCCTTTTTTTTTTGCAACTCTGTCAGATTCAGACTACAACTTTGGGAGAGTCTGACGAATCAAATAGGCTAAAAACGAATCTGAGGGCCTGCTCTGCACCGTGCAGTGGTTGTGGCGACGTGATGATGTCGATCCAAACTGGCTGGCATGCCAGTGTTGGACATGTGCTCCATGACTCCCTGCCATCGAAATGAGGTCATTGCTGACTTTGCGCTATAGCTTCGCGTGCATGATCACCACAGCAATGTCAAAATGTCCAGAACTTTTCCACCCTCGGCCTTATACAAGTCTGCTGTGGGGAAGCGTTGCTACAACTTTAACTCGTTTGAAGAGGTTATTCTGTCGACGTATATCATACCACTAACTTTGCCATGAACGGAATGCGAGTACACCAATGCGTGTTGTCAAACTTATATGCTATAGTCTGTTTAGGCTGTAGTGGGGTAGTTCATATAGGATACAACACTTTTAGGTTTCCTACTTGTACCCACCTGCTTTCTAGTTCAGTCATTCATTCGTTCAATATTCTAACATGGTATTCTGAGCAGGTTCCCTCGTGGGAACGTTTTTTTTAGGGCCCACCACGAACATTTTTTTTCCTACCCTTCCCGAAGCGCGCCTCGCGCCTGCCTTACCTGCGCCGTC